TTTAATGTCTAACCTCTCCCTATCCACAAGTTCTTTCCCTATTGCCTTCAAACATACTCATCTCCTGCATCCTTAAAAAACCTTCACTAGGGACAGCTAGGTGATGCAGTGGATACAGCACCAGCCCTGGAGTCAGGAGGACCTGAGTTCAAATCTTACTTCAGACATATAACACTTGCTAGCTGTGTGACCCTGGGCAAGTCACTTAACCCCATTGCCTAGCCAAAAAAAAATTAAAATACAAACCTTCGCCAAATAGACCCAACCAGCCCTTTGAGTTATTGCCTTATATCTCTCCCCCCTTTCTCAGCTACACCCATTAAAAAAGTTACCTACTCTTACTATCAGGTTGGAGGGTGTGTTCAAGAAAGACTAGTACCTCTGGAGTGAGGGCTGCCAAACCTTTTTGAGGGCTACTTTCCACCTCTGGTGTCCACCTGATCCACCTAACTCTTACCTGAAGCTGTAGCATGCACAGCAGCCACATTCTGGTAAACCGTTTTGGCAGATAGGCTAAACTAGGTTGTGGGTAACCAAGGGATCTCAAATCTATCAATGAGTTAGGGGGGTGTCTATCCAATGCATGCAAAGACTTCCCCTGGTGGAATGAGCAGATGAGAACAACTTGTTCCAACAGCCATGAAGGCAGCTGAAGTAGGTGCTGTGGAGCGCTCTTAGAGCTTGGTCAGACATCAAAGACACCAAGGTCATCCATTGCATCTCAAGCCATCACTAGTCATCTTGACTTGGTCCTGCCACTGGACTGTGATAACTCTGGAAGACAGAGTGAGGCTGACAACTTCATGCAACTCTGCCTCACTTAAATCCGATTTATGCACAAATCAAAAGATACCACCCATACCATTTTACCATTTTACCTATCTCAAAGTCCTGTGGCAACAGGCAAGTGATGAAGACAGTGGTGATAAAGTGATGAAGTGATAAAGCAGCAAGTGCGGATACACTGGGAGCTGTAGACACAATGCTGCACACAGGCGGCCCAAGTCATAGGGTTGTCTTCTTACTGGAAGTAGGAGTATAATTTCACAGCCCCCTGGGTGTCTGAGCAGCCTTTTAAGGATTGCACTGCTCACCTCCTGGTCTGATGAAGGGGCTAGAAAAGCCCTAAAAACTGTCTGCTTACCCAGCCCTGGCCTGTTTATCCCTAGTAGGTGGGGATCCCACTCTGTAGTCAAAACACAAAAAATGTACAAAAACTTCTATAAAGATGATTCCACTCACCATCTGCACATGGAATGTAAACACACTTATAGACAACACAAAATCCAGTAGACCTGAAAAATGAACAGCTCTTGTTGTGAGAGAACTCAGCAGGTATCGCATCCAAATAGTAGTCCTGAGTGAAACAAGGCTGGCAAATGAAGGCCAGCTTACTGAAGTCGGAGCTGGATATACATTTTTCTGGAGTGGCCACAGTGAAGGGAAATGCCATGAAGCTGGTGTAGGTTTTGCAATCAAAACTAATCTAGTCAACCAGCTTGTATGCCTACCAAAAGAAGTGAACAACAGACATGACAATGAGATTGCCACTTGCAGGAAAATGCCATGCTATCATCATCAGTGCCTATGCTCTCACCATGACAAACCCTGATGAGGTCAAAGAAAAGTTTTATGAAGACCTGGAGACCCTTATCATCAATGTGCCAAAAGAGGACAAGCTTATAATTCTGGGAGACTTTAATGCTAGGATAGGCTCAGATTACCAGACATGGCAGGGAGTCCTTGGGAGGAATGGAGTTGGAAACAGCAATGGTCACTTACTACTGAAGACCTGTGCATCTCATGATCTTCTCATCACCACCACCGTCTTCCATTTACCTAAATGTGATAAAATTTCTTGGATACACCCTCGCAGCCTCGAGGCACATATAGAATTTTAGGTCCTTGGGTGTGGCTTTTTGACTGAGTCCAAGTTTCACAGAACAAATCCTTTCATTAAGATGATTTTATTATCAATCAATGCTGAAGTCATTTTGAAAAGTCATTCCTTAGCTAGCTGAAGTTCCAACTGAAGAAGAGGTTTTGAATGCCATTAGGCTCCCTTTGTGTGGCAAATCATCTGGTGCTGATTCTATTCCAGTTGATATTTACAAGGTGTGAGGGGGTCCATTGCTCATACAAAAGTTGATTGAAATTTTCTGCGTTATATGGCAAAGGAGATTATCCTCCCGGAGTTCAGGAATGCCTCCATTGTCCGTCTCTATAAAGGTAATAGATTGTCCTGTGACAATCTCTCTCTTAGTCCCTGCTGCAAGGTTCTTGCCAGAGTTCTCCTTAATAGGCTGGTCCTTCACCTGGAAGATGGTCATCTACCTGAGAGCTAGCGTGGCTTCAGAAAGGGCTGAGAAACAGTCAATATGGTGTTTGCTGCCTAACAACTCCAGGAGAAATGCTAGGAGCAGAACACAGGTCTGTATACAATGTTTGTAGATCTGACTGAGATCTTTGATACAGTCAATCATGAGAGCTTATGGAAAATTATGTCAAAAATTGGTTACCCAGCGAAGTTCATCAGCATTATATGTCAATTTCACAATGGCATGCTTGCCAAGGTTCTGGATAATGGATGATGCTCTCGTGATTTCCCAGTCACCAATGGAGTAAAACAAGACTGTGTGCTTATTCCCATGCTTTGGATAAAGATGCTACAAATACTGAACCTTTGCTTCTAGGGGAAATGCAGGATTAGGTTCCTGCAAGCCTTTAGTCACATTTACTTTAGCAATTTCCAGAGCAGCCTTACACAGATCAGTGAATTTCCTCTTCCTTTCTCTAATATACTGAATTATTGATTCATTAACAACGTACTCACAGCCAATAGAACTATGACTGATGCCCAAATGAAACTTTTAACATGTATTTTCTCCATAAGGCACATCATCACTTTCTTGCATTCAGAACAGCAATTCAGCACTATGCTTGGAGGTCATTTTAAACAGTGAAAGAACCAACAAAAAGCACGCGCGCACACACACACACACACACACATAAAGTATCACTAAATTGACTGTGAGAAGGACATTTTTTACTGTATGAGAGCTAAAACAAGAAAGCTGAGTGTCACCTTGTTTGACTCTGCTGGAAATGTGTGTCTGGTGACTCAGATTTTTTTTGCCAGTCAAATATTGCTTTTGGGGATACAAATAAATTTTAGTTAGTAGGAGAATTAACAAATATGGAATCTGAGTATAATGTGGATCAACTGTAATTTGAATGGTTTTAAAATTATCTTCTTTGTTTCAGATTTAATACCTTTAAAATGCATAATTAATGCTTAATTTGAAATTTTTTTATAAATATGGATATGAGAAAAGAACATATCTATTTTTAGAAATATGTATATGTACATATACACATATATAGTATATGAACATATGCTATTTATGTGAGTATTCTTATATACCAGGAGTTGATTTGATTTGAAAAAGTTTATCTCTTTATTTAATAGCATATTGGCAAAGTATGATTTAATGTGGGACCAAGAACCATTTTAGCCTTCTCAATCTATGATAAGAATAACTACTGTCAACTTCTAGGACAACAAAGAGAAGATACTGAAACTCAAATCATGTTAAAGTGATAGAAAATGTAAGCACAAATATTATGTGTACCAATTTGTAATTGATTATTTTCTGAATTTAGTAATAGCTGAAATACTTTTTGGGCATAAAAATCAAGGCGATCAAACAGGGAGATTATAGATTTATCTGAAGTATGGATTTCAATATATAATTAGATAGAATTGGGTTTGATATAATTTTGATTGGAAATTTCTTATTAATAGTGTGTGGCCATATTTATTGTATGACAGTTTGACATAAAAATAATTTCCAGTGGTATAACTGATTGTTATTGACTATCATCAGTGGATATCAGTGTCATGTTTTTATAGCTGTAGGGCATACTGAATCTGTTGCCATAAACTGTGGTGATTTAGCATAAAATCACTATGAAATGGAAAACTGGGAAGAGAAGTGGAATGTTTCATCTAGCATTGGTTTGTAACATTTTTTGAGGAGATCTTTCTTTCACTGGTATAGGGAATTCTTGATGAGGAAACTGTCTACCAGTGTAGCTCAGGAACTGTGCTACAATTTAATAATCTTAGAGAGTTGCCTGGGGCAGTAAGTGATGAAATGATTTGCTTGTCCAAGGTCACATAACTAAGATGTGACAAAGGCAGAATGTGAACTTAGGCCTTTCTAAATTAGAGGCCAGCTATGCCACATTGACACTCTAATATGTAACTTTTAAAAACACTTAAAATTTGATATTATACATTATAGTTATCTATGTTTGTGTCTAAGTACTAACCTAGAAGTTCAATGAAATGAAGAAATACGTCTCATCTAACTTTAATTATTCCTTAGTGTCTAGTTACAATGCTCTGTATACAGCAGGTACTCAAGCGTTTATTGAATGAATGAATACGAATATAAATATGAAGAGACACTGAAATGTCAACTTCAGATGAGTTTGAGAAATGTTTAAAGATCAGCAGTAAGTTTGAGTTTTTGGTTTTTTGTTTAAATTGGAAAAAGATTATTGAACTAAATCACTAATGGGAATGGGAATTAATTTTTGCCAACACTGAGAATGTTAAAAATCCTAGTCAGATGCTTCATCACAGTGCAGTGAGCTGTATAAGCTCAAAAGGTTTCAGAACAAACAATGGGGTGTAGATTTCATGATCTAAGGAAAAGTATAGCTAAGTACAAGGAAACATCCTCAGAGGGAGGACAGTAGATCATGAACTGCTTTTGGCTTAGCAACAGCAAGACTGTCTACTGAGCTGTGGAGAGGCTGTGATATGGATCTGGGGAAAGAGGATCCACATTGATAAAAGCACAGATGTGATCAAGTATTTGAGTAAAACTATTTTCAGGGCACCCATGGTATTTGATTTATAATAAGCAATTAATAAGTTGTTTCGTTTTGTTTTACTGACTGGTTTGACAAAGAAAGATTTCTGTACTTACCTCTATTAAAGAATGTGCTGATCATGAAGCCAAAGGAGATGGAAGATGTTGCAAAACACATCAGAAAGAAAAATATCAAAACTGGGTCACTTTTGGTGAGCACAGCCACATTATCTTTCACCTAAGAAACGTTAATTAAAACATTTTGGTCGTACATATAATTATTGTTACAGGAAGTCAGGGAGCTGTGTAGTATAAAATATAGTCTTCAAAATTACAGCAATTCTACTACAGAAATTCTACAACTAATAACTATCCAGAAATTAAAACTGAATAAAAAGAAAATTAAACTCCACTTGCATCTATAATAAGAATGAAGGCTATCCCTGATTCTAATAAGTTGTAAAGGATTGTTTTTGAGAAATCAAACAACATGACATTGTAAGCCTAGAGCTTATAATGTCATTACAAAATGATTTTCATTCTTCCATTAACTTTAGCCTAGTAGCTACATCAAACGTAGGAGATCCCTCCTAACAGATCAAGACACTGGACCTAACCAAACACTTGCCTTGATACAAAAGAGAACAGTGATGCAAAAGACAGTAATGAAAAAGAAGACAAAAAACACAAGGAACCAGGTAAGCCAGTGTAGCCAGTTGCTGAGTCCCATCATTCACATATACTCCTATGCGGTAAAAAGAAATCTAATGTTATTCAACCTAATAAGCAAACCATCAGTAAAACTTCAGCAAAGTAAATTGCTAACTAAAACCCTAAAAAACTGGATAGATTATATTTATGGTTCTTATTTACATTCAGTTATTTTTGAGGACCTGTGGGAATATTTCTGCGTATGGGGGAAAGAAAGAAAAAAAGAACAAATACCATTTTTTTTTGTAAAACAAATTAAATACAAATAAGGATCATGGATTTAAAAATATGAAATACCTTAGAATTCATTTCATCCAACCCTTTCATTTTACAGAAGAGTAAACTGAGACCTACAGAGAGATCAAAATACTTTTCCAAGATTATACAGGTTCTAAATACTAGAGACAGGATTTAAATTCAGGTTCCCTAACTCCAAATCTAGTACTTAAAAAAAAAAACAACACACCACACTGTCATCTAAGTCTTAAGCTATAGTAATTCACCTTTTAAAAACTAAAAGGCAAACATTAAAGCCATGCATACACTATTCACTACAACCTAGCTAGAACCCAATTCTTAAAAATGTGGATCCAATCAATCCATTAATATTTATTAAGTACTTACTATGTGCCAGGAATTATGCTAGGCACTAGAGGATACAATGACAAAGGTGAAATGATCCCTCACATTAACAAGCCCACATTCTACTAAGGGAGTCAACATATACAAGTATATAACACATACATATGTATGTATACATATATGTATATATATATATCCATGTATATATATATATATCCATATATATGCATATGTGTATGTGTATATACAAAGTATCTGCAAAATAATTACAAGCTAATTTGAAGGGGAAGGCATAACCAGCAGGACACCAAGACAAGAGATGGAAAGCCAAGTATACATTTACACGTACATGCTGTCTCCTCTAACAGAATGTGAGTTTATTGAGGGAAGAGAATGTTTTACTTTTGACTTTGTATCTTCAGCACCCAGCATAGTTCCTGGCACATAGCAGTGTGCTTAATAAATGTTCCATTGATTGGCACCATGTTTTCCAAGAATTATGTTTCAGCTAGGTTGGGTATAGCACATGGTGTTCTTGTCTTTAAAATTTCCCTTTCAACTTATAAAAGAAAAATTATTACAGCATAGTAGTACTTTCCAAATCTAAGATACTATTAATTTATATTATATGAGGCAAAACTACAGAGGGAAATTTAAGCAATATAAAAACAAAAGTTAGCAATAAAAACTTATTTAAAAAAAAGATTTGGAAGATAAGGCTAAAATGGCAAAGTGGTAGGAGGCAGTACAGTTTAGTACTCCTCCACAAAACTTCTCTAAACAAATATACAAAATGCACTAATATCATCTGTTTCTTACATCACCATAGTTATCCCAAAAATCTCTTCCCTCCCCTTTTTCAGAGAGCCATCTCATAACACAAATAGTATTTTAGAGAGGAATCCTCTCTGAATCCTAATGAGGAAATCCAGAAAAAAATTATAATGAGTCATCTGTTCAGGCCAGCTCAGCAAAGTGAGATATAAAGAGACATCTGAGAGGTCTGTAGATCCTGGGATAAAAGACAAAAGATCCTTAGATAAAGCCAAGAGTCAACTATCAGAGGAAGACTCCAACACACAAACAGAGCAAGAGGCCCACCCAAACTCATACTCCAGAAACATATCAAGGCACTGTGACAAGGACAGGTAAGAACTGGCATCTTTGTTACTCACTACTCAATTCTGGGTCATGGATCCAGGGCCAACTGAGGACCTATGCACAGAGGTGGCTTTTCTAATTAGGAGTCACTGGGTGGTATACTGGGAAGGAGGAAGTTCAGAAGCAAGCTGCAGCTGTGTGACTCGAAGTGAAGGAGCTGAATGGAGTCTCAGTTCCTGGATCTAACCCAGTTTTCATAAGAATAAGCATAGCAGGAAGCCCAGACCAAAGGAAAGACTACACTTCTACCACGCCAAACAAACAGATGGCTAACGAGAGCAGAGTCCAGCAGCAGTTTCTTTTTTTAAATAATATTTTATTTTTCCCCAATTACATATAAAGGCAATTTTGAACATTTTTTTTTTAATTTTGAGTGCCAAATTTTCTCCTTCCCTCCCTTACCTGTGTCTTTCTTGGGATGGTAAGCAATTTGATATAGGTTATATATATTCAATCATGCAAAGAATATTTCCATATTAGTCATGTTATGAAAGAAGACACAAATCCAAAGATCTTGGCACAAGACACACAAAACCTTGATCAAGCAACAAATTCCCTTAAAATTAGAATGGATCAAATAGAACCTAATGACTCCGTAAGGCTCCAAGAAATATTTTAAAAAGTCATAACACTAAAAATACTGAAGAAAATTTAAAGTTTCTCATAACAAAAACAAGTGGCATGGAAAACAGAGTGAAGAGAAAAGTTTAAGAATCACTGGAGTACCTGAACACTATGACTCAAAACCACCCCCCCAAACCCTCAAAAAATCCTAGACATCATATATCTAGTAATCATAAAAAAAAAAACTATCTAGACCTTTTAGGACCAGAGGGCCAAACAGAAAAAGAAAGAATTCACCAGTCACCTCCTGAAAGAAACCCCAAAATAAAAACTCCCAGCAACATTACAGACAAAATCCAGAGCTTCTGCATCAAATACTGCAAGCAGTAAGAAAGAAAAAAAATTAATGTACTGAGAAGCTACACTCAAGATCACACATGATTTAGCAACCAGAAAGACCAGAACAATATTGCAGAAGTCAAACAGCTAAGAATAACTTACCCAGAAAAACTAAGTATTTCTACAGCGGGAAAATGGTCCTTTTATGAAGTAGAGGGCTTCCAAATATTCTTAATGAAAAGACCAGGAGACAAAGGTGAAAGCAGAAATCTGGTAGAGGTAGCAGTGAAGAGGAGGGCAAGGAATATTATGGACAAAACCAGATGACACTGCCTACAAGTGAGGTTACATTACACCATCGTTGGGTATATGAAACAGTGGTAGGGGAACAAGGGAATGGAGAAAAACGTGACTAATAGCTATTCTTCAAAAGATAAGTAATCAAAGGATATGAACAAACAGTTCTCTAAAGAAGAATTGTAAAGTATTCACAGCCACATTAAAGAGTGCTCCACATCACTAATAATAAGAGGAATGCAAACTGAAATACCACTGAGGTTTCACCTTACATCACACAAATTGGCAAAAATTACAAAAAATTGCAATAGACAATGTTAGGGGTGGGGATTAGGGAATGACAAGCACACCAATCTATTGTTGGTAGACCTGTGAAATGGTACCACCATTTTGGAAAGCAGTTTTGATTATGCAAATAAAGTGACTAAAATGTCCACATCCGTTGAACCAGATACTCCATTATTGGCTTTATATCCCAAGGAGCCTTTTCAATAGGAAGAAAGACTACATATACACCAAAATATTTATAGCAGCACTTTTTGTGATAACAAATAATTGGAAATAAAGTAGATACCCATCAATTGGGGAATGGCTAAATAAATCATGGCACATGAATATAATGGAATATTACTGTGCTATAAAAAATGATGTGATGAATATAGAAGAGCATGGAAAGATCTTTACGAACTGATACAGAGTGAAGTAAGAAGTAAGAAAAGAATATACATTGTACTGCAACAATGTAAATGGGAAAAGTGACTACATGCAAAAAATCAAAAGTAAAAGTAACAAAATTATAAAGATCAAACAAGACTCAAATGAGGAGATATGAGAGGACACCTCCAACCCATGCCTGAATGGGGGTGGGAGGTTATACATCACACATGTTTGGGGGATTTTTCAATGCATAGCTCAGTTGTGCAGATTTTTTTTTCCTTTTTAAAATACTATTTGTGGCAGATGACATGATGATATACTTACAGAATCCTAGAAAATCAAGTAAAAAACTACTTGAAATAATAAACAACTTTAGCAAAGTTGCAGGCTATAAAATAAACTCACATAAATCACTGGCATTTCTATATATTACCAACAAAGATCAACAGCAACAGACAGAAAGAGAAATTCCATTTAAACTTACTGTAAGCATTATAAAATATTTAGGAGTCTACCTCCCGAAATAAACCCAGGAACTCTATGAACACAATTACAAAACACTTTTCACACAAATAAAGTCAGATCTAACTAATTGGAAAAACATCAGTTGCTCATGGATAGGCCAAGCCAATATAATAAATATGACAATTCTACCTAAGCTAATTTACTTATTCCATGCCGTGCCAATCAAACTACCAAAAAATTAGAGTAGAAAAAATAATAACAAGATTCATTTGGAAGAACAAAAGGTCCACAATATCAAGAGAACTAATGAAAAGAAATGCAGGGGAAGGCGGCCTAGCTATTCCAGATCTTAAATTGTATTATAAAGCAGCAATCATCAAAACTACTTGTTACTGGTTAAGAAATAGAGTGGTGGATCAGTGGAACAGGTTAAATATGCAAGACACAGTAGTCAAGGACTACAGTAATCTTTTATTTGATAAACCCAAAGACCCCAGCTTCTGGGATAAGAACCTACTCTTTGAAAAAAACTGCTGGGAAAACTGAAAAAGAGTATGGCAGAAACTAGGCACAGATCAAAATCTTACACCATATACCAAAATAAAGCCAAAATGGATTCATGATGTAGATATAAAGGCTGATACTGTAAGCAAATTGGGAGAGCAAGGAATAGTTTACCTATCAGATCTATGGTGAACAGAAGAATTCACGACCAAACAGGAGATAGAGAACATTACAAAAAGCAAAATGGATAACTTTGATTACATTAAATTGAAAAGTTTTTTCACAAACAAAGCCAATGCAACTAAGATTAGAAGGAAGGTAGAAAATTGGGAAAGAATTTTTACAACCAGTCTCTCTGATAAGGGCCTCATTTCTAAAATATATAGAGAATTAAGTCAAATCTATAAAAATACAAGTCATTCCCCAATTGAGAAATGGTCAAAGGATATGAACAGGTAGTTCTCAGATGAAGAAATTAAAGCCATCTATAGTCATATGAAAAAATGCTCTAAATCACTATTGATTAGACAAATGTAAATCAAAACAACTCTGATGTACCACATCACACCTGTCAGATTGGCCAACATGACAAAACAGGAAAATGATAAATGTTGGAGAAGATGTGGAAAAATTGAAACACTAATGCATTGTTGGTGGAGTTGTGAAATGATCCAACCATTTTGATGTATTTTTTTTTTTAGTGAGGCAATTGGGGTTAAGTGACTTGCCCCAGAGTCACACAACTAGGAAGTATTATGTGTCTGAGGTCGGATTTGAACTCAGGTCCTCCTGACTCCAGGGCTGGTGCTCTATCCACTGCGCCACCTAGCTGCCCCAGATCCAACCATTTTGGAGAGCAATTTGGAACTATGCCCAAAGGGCTATAAAAATGTGCATACCCTTTGACCCAGCAATGGCACTTCTAGGGCTATATCCCAAAGAGATCATACAAATGGGAAAAGGACCCACATGTACAAAAATATTCATAGCAGCTCTTTTTGTGGTGCCAAAGAATTGGAAATTGAGAGGATGCCCATCAATTGGGGAATGGCTGAGCAAGTTGTAGTATACGAATGTAATGGAATACCATTGTGCTATAAGAAATGATGAACAGGCTGACTTCAGAAAAACCTGGAAAGACCTGTATGGTCTGATGTTGAGTGAAGTGAGCAGGACCAAGAGAATGATGTACACAATAACAGCCACATTGTGCAATGACTAATATTGATAAACTTAACCCTTCCCAGCAATACAAGGATCTAGGACATCTCCAAAGGCCTTGTGATGGAAAATGCTATCCACATCCAAAGAAAGAACTGTGGAAGTTGAATTGCTATTTTTTTTCTCTTCTGTTGAGTTTTGTTTCCTCTTTCCGGTGGTTCCTCCTTTTGTTTCTAATTTTTACTTACAACATCACTAATGTGAAAATATGTTTAATAGGAATGTATATGTATAGCCTATATCAGATTGTGCGCCATCTTGGGGTGAGTGGTGGGGAGGAAGGGGGTGAAAAAATTTAAACTCAAAAGCATATGGAAGTGATTGTTGATAAGTCAAAATATATTAATAAAAATTTTTTAAAAAATAAAATACTATTTGTGTTATGGGATGGCTCTCTGAAAAAGGGGAGGAAAGATTCTTGGGATAACTATGGTGATGTAAGAAACAGATGATAGCAATAAAAACGTTTAAAATATGATATAAAACTACTATGCTGTCATAATGAAATTATGAAGATTTCAGAGAAATCTAGGAAGATCTGTGTGAACTGATGCAGTGCAAAGTGAAGACAATCAGCAGAACAATGTATGCAGTGACAACAATATGGTAAAAAAGCAAACAATTTTGAAACAACCGAGAACTGTTATTAGTATAATGACTAAGATTTTAGAAGACGAATGGTGAAACATGCTACCAGATGGAGAGGTGAAGAACTCAGAGTAAAGAATAAGACAATTTTTTTTGGATATGGCCAATGTGGAAATGTTTTGATTGACTATACATGTCTGTAACAGGTTTTGTTTTACTTTTGTTCTCAATTGTGAATTTTTCGGGCATGGGGGAGTTGGAAGGATGAAAAGGCAAGTTTTTGCTGAATGAAACACATGAAATATATTTTTAAAAATCTGTATTATCCTAACAACTCTGAGAGTGGTATTGTCCTGTCTTTTAGTCAGAATTACTAAGGCAAAGAATGTCTAAGTAACTTACACAAGCTCAGAATTACTTAGTAGCAGATCCAAGACAAGAACTCTAGTTTCCCTACTCCTAACTCAGTGCTGTTACACTAGTTGTTGTAAAATAAAAGTGCCCTTCCCTGAGCACAGAGCTTCATTTTTTGAAGTATAAATAGACTGTATCCAATTACTATAGAGAAACAAGGCAAAACAAATAACTTTTGAGAAAAAGATGATGAGCATTTACACCTAGAAAAATACTGAAAACTTTCCAGACACATTCCACCATTCTACTAGTCCTTTACATTTTGCTCTTTGGAAGCCTCTTATTATAAACATTCTAATTATAAATAAACTCTTCAAGTCCAAACTCCTTAGCTAGGCATTCATCTCCTGAGGCCGTGCTCGTGTCACCTCCTGCTTGAAAGGTTTCTCTATCATCACTTCCCATCCTGAAAGTCAATAGTGATCATCCCGTTAAGTGAATTCAAAGAACATCTCTGACATATTTATCATTTAAACTTTGAATTACATTCATGATGTATGCTGGAGGGGCAGGCTGACCTTGTGCTTATCATATTAATTTTTCATTAGGTTCCATCTCTCTGTGCCCCACAATTCCTCAAGCCTCTCAGATGGTTTCCATCTTAAGTAAGGTAGGTTACCTTCAGTTTTTTCTCCTCATGTACAATGATACGGATGATGTTTAGTACCGTGAAAGTAAAGGCCAGCACAAGAAGCAGAGACATTGTGAACTGTACAACACCAAGGAAAGGGTCCTTAATGAAAGCTGGGTAAGGAAACCTCTTCACAGTTAAGGTGATTTTGTCAAACAGCTCGCTGGAAGCTTCTGGAGCATGGTGCCTCATGATAGCTTTGTCCACAGCATGCTGCACTGTCAGGAATCCTTCTCTGATATATCCTAAATGAGAAAAAAAATGATGAGGATCATGACAGGCACAAAGCAGGTGGCCATTGAAATGGTTCAACAGCATCTACTCACAGAACAAGATAAATGACGTGAAGGAAACACTCACAGCTATCCCACTCTATGATGAACACATTTCCTTTCATTTTTGACCTGTTTTTCTAATGACCTTCTACCTTCTGGCACTCAGAAAACTGGCTCCACCATGACGACACACTGTTCTCTGATCATTCTTCCCAGTACTGAACAGACCTTCTTGCCTACTACTTAACACAGCGGTCCTGCGGGAGAGCCAGAATTCTCACAGATTCCTTCCCTGCGCTCCCATTGCTACTTACAGACTTCCTTTGCAGCCATCACTCAGCAACCTCTCCTACCTTGAGGTTCACACTTGACCATCTAAATTTACTGCCCAATCTAGATCCAGGTGGTTGTTACCTACCATTCCCCTGCAAAACTTCTTCTTTTCTCAGTGAGGTCAATACCTAGCTCACAGTATTTCAGTTCATCTCAGCAACATGCTAGTTGCTGTTCCTTCCAGTTTTTCAATTTACTCAATTTCCACAACAGTCTCTACAACACTTCAGCAGGTCAGTAAGTTAGTAACAAGTTTGTTAGATGCTTACTATGCACCAAGGCAAGTCTAAAAGTGTAGTTAGGTTTTGGCATACAAAGAAAGACAAACAGGGATGATCACAGTCTTAATCTTGTCAATATCCACAAATGAAATAATCCATGAAGAACTCTGAAATTCCAATATACAATCAAAATTTTCTAACATTCTATCTTTCCCTATATTTTATTCCTTCTCCACTTATTTTTCATCCTCAATGATCTCATCCCTCAGTACTTTACCGGTCTATCATTCCTGCTCTGATTATATTCTCCTCCCTGATTCTTTAACTATTTCAACACTATACTATCCTTTACTTCCCAATCCTATACTGGGACTAAGTATGTTAATTTATGATTAGCAACTATGTTTTGTTTTAAGCCTCCATTTTGTGACTGAGTAGTTGTTATGTAAATCATTTTTCTGTAATTAGATAACAACTTGAATAGCATAGATTGGCAATTAAAAAACGGATAAAAATTCACTAATGATGTTAGGAAACTAAAGTTCTGATTGACAGTTTCCTTTCATCATAGTTTAGGTAATCAATCATTTACCTATCATTTATAAATACCCTTAGCCAAAATCATAAAAACCCACTATGGCCCCAATTATCAATCTCTTTCTGGGTTGGAACTAGGACAGATTCCTGCATTACCTGCATTTGGAAATATAAGAATTCTCTGTTCATTCAAGAGCAGTACTGATTGACAGTGACTTGCTAGAATCCCATTTAGGAGAGAAAAATATATATGCCTCATTTGGGCAGGGGGTATCTTGTCATGAGCATCAGCACGAGACATGCTTACTTTAGGAATTAGGCTGCTGTGTAGATGTACAGCCTATATCAAATTGTATGCTGTCTTGGGGTAGGAGGAGGGGAGAGATGGAGAGAAAATTTGCAACTCAAGATCTTATGGAAGTGAATGTTGAAAACTAAAAATAAATAAGTAAAAAGTAATGAAGCTGGTGGTTTGTTCCTAGAGGGTCTGATGTTTATAACTGAATAGTCAATAAAATTTGATCATGAACAGATGAAATCTAAGTCTTATTAGTGTACCATCAGCCTTAACATATGTACGATGTGTACAAATCTCCCACTTATTTGTCCTATGGTTGGGCTCATGCTTTGCACCAAAACCTAATCCTGCATTATTGCTACCATCCACCTCCTCTGCCTCTACTCATCTGCTACTGAACAGAGCTGGAAAAAGTCAGGCAACTGTGCTGACCATAACAGTTTTCCTAAATCTTCTCTACTTTCTTCAAGTCACCCCACACACTACTCCCTCTCCCCAACCTCTCAGCTGAGGACCTAGTCTTATACTTTACCAATAAATTTGAAGTCATTTACTGTAAACCCTTTTCTCCTTATCATTTCATAACTCTGACATCATTCCTCTTTATTTCATACTTCATTCCAGTCCCTGATGAAAAGCTATAGCCATTCTCCTTGCCAACATCAATCTCTCTACATGTACCCTTCATCCCATCCCCTCTGTCTTGAACAATTACGACCACTATATATTTTCACCATCTCTAATCTTCAATGTCTCCTTATCTACTGGTCCCTTCCCTGTTGCATATAAATATGCTCAGGACTCCCTATCTTTTAAACAAAGCCTCATTAGACTCTATCATCTCCACTAGCTTTCATCCTAAGGGTCTCCATTTCTCAGCCCAAATTCTTGAAATTTCTCTCTATATGTATTGCCCCCACTTCTTTTCCTTTCACTTTCTTCTAAACCCTCAGCATTCTGATCTCATCATTCAACTGAAATTGCTCCTTCCAAAGTTAAGAATGATTTAATTGCCAAATGTGGTGACCTTTTCTCACTCCTCATTCTTCTAGACATTTCTGTATTGACACTGTTGATTACTTTCTCTTCCTGTATACTCTCTTCTCTGTTTTCATGACACTGTTTTTTCTTGGTTCTCTTCCTAACCATCCAATTACTCCACAGTCTCCTTTACTGTATCTTTATCCATGTCTTCTCTTGGAACTTCCTTCAGCACCTGTGGCTTTCCCATCCTAGAACATCCCTCCATTCTGGTCCCTTTCTCCCATTCCTGAGTTCCTTCCTAGGCCTCCATTTTGGGGAGGGCACCAGGTTAGTTATCCTTTATTTTTCTCTTGGCTCTGCTTTTAACTCACAGATTTTTTTTCCACCATGACTGCTAAGGGCACTTTTTCCCCTATATCCCTTCCCTCTCCATCTCTTCCCTTGTTAGGGTCTCTTTCATAGAATGTAAGCTTCTTGAAAGCAGGGACTATTTTTATTTTTTCTTGTGTTTGTTCTCCAGAGCTCAGCATAGTGCATGGTACATAGTAAGAGCTTAATAAATATCTGTTGCCTGTTTGTATGTCATTCTCACAAATCATGAGTGTTCCCTAAGGCTCTGGCTTGGGTCTTCTTCTCTCTTTAATCTATAAAATCTCACTTAGTGATCTAAAACTTCATGGATTCAATCATCAACACTATGCACATTACTAGAACTATATGGTTAGCTTTAGCCTTTCTCCCACGTTCTAGTCCCACATTGCCAACTGCCTACTGAACATTTAAAACTGGATGTCCTGCTTATTATTTGACAAAGACTGCTAGGGAAACTAGATGATATCATTTGCCTGATAGAAGTTATGTTTAAACCAATACCTGAGACCACACACCAAGATAAGCTCCAAATAGATACATAATCTAGGTATAAAAGATCACATCATTAACAAGTTAGAGGAGCAAGGAAGAAATTATCTTTCTGACATATCAATAGGGGAATAGTTAATGCCTAAACAAATGAGTTGTTTTTCTTCATAATACTGTTTCCATCCTGGTTCTATTCACTTCAATGTTTATTTATTCTATCATTTCTTAAAAAAACTAGGATAATTAAACTCTTTTGTTACATGTATTTCATTCATGATTTCTTGAAATACAGTTCAGGTAAACCAGGCTTTAATAAAACCCACTAGAATTCAAATGAAGCTACCAGACTAAGCCTTTAAACCCAAATCACTCTGGCTCTTACTGACTGGCCAACAATAGGTCCTAGCCCAAGCCTTGTTTGCTCATTGTTCGGGTTTTGATGCTTGTAAATAGCAATTGCTTCTGTTCTGGCCAGAAACTCTGAAGGTTTTCCCTGTCCTGGCTGATTCTTTTGAGAAGTCAAACTAGGCCATCTTTTGCCTCAATTCTTACCTAGCCTTCAATTACTGAATGGATGTTGCCTCAGAAAAACTGAGACCTAGGCTCCAAGTCAAGACATCATCTTTCTGATGTCATTGGTCCTCTTCGAGAATGAAGGATGAGCAACAACAATGTGCATCAATTCCCCATTTCCTCTGAAACCATTCATTTCACAATTTTTTACAACACAATAATATTTCACTGAAGTCATATACCACAATTTGTTTAGCCATTCCCCAATAAGAGAACTTCTCCTTTGGTTCTTTGATTGATTCATTGATTTAGCCTTTCAGAAACATAAATTTTCCCATTACAACTGCTTCAGTTGCATCACATAAGTTTTGGTACATAGTTTCACTATTGTCTTTTTCGGTGAGGCAATTGGGCTTAAGTGACTTGCCCAGGGTCACACACCTAGTACATGTCAAGTGTCTGAGGCTAGATTTGAACTCAGGTCCTCTTAACTCCAAGGCCAGAGCTCTATCCACTGCACCACCTAGCTGTTCCTACTACTGTCCTTTTCTTGATGAAATTTTCTACTGTTTGTATAATTTTGTTCTTTGACCCAATAGGTCTTTAAAATTATGTTATTTAATCTCAAATTATTCTTTCATTTTTTCTTTAAAGGCTCTTTGTTGAATATAGTTTTTTTGTTTGTTTTTTTGCTTTTTTTTTTTCTGATGAAGCAGTTGGGGTTAAGTGACTTGCCCAAGGTCACATAGCTAGTAAGTGTGAAGTGTCTGAGGCCAGATTTGAACTCAGGTCCTCCTGACTCCAAGGCTGGAGCTTTATCTACTGTGCCACCTAGCTGCGCCAGAATATAGTTTTTATTGCAACGTGGTCAGGAATTTTGTGTTTTGTATTTCTTCTTTTCTACATGTTTTGGTAAGGTATTTATTCCTTAATACATGGTCATTTTTGGTAAAGTGCCATGCTTATTTGGGATGCATATAATTCTATTCTATTTCTATTTAGTAATCACCAGGGATCTATCAACTCTAAGTTTTCTAAAGTTCTATTCAGATATTTAACTTCTTTTTATCTTTTTGTTAGATTTGCCCAGGTCTGAAAGGAACAATAAATAAATTGTATTAATAAATATTAATAAATAAATAAATAAATAAAATAAAACATTTTCCTTATAAAGTTATAAAAGTTCTCCTACTTTTATAACTTTATAAGGAAAATGTTTTATTATGCAGTTTGGAAAAGTTATTAATTATTATACTGCTTAAATCTAGCTTTATGTGACTAGAAACTGTCTAACTCAAAGTAGAGGTCAGACTGATCTCAGACCCAGCTCCTGGGGAAGCCAGATGGCTTCAAGGAATGCTTAAATCCTACCCAGATCTTGGTTTTTGGGGTCCACTCAATGCTTGTGTTCCCCAAAATTAAATATTTATGTTTTCTCAATCAACTTTAATTTGAATATCTATGTTTACTGATATCTACTTCAATGGACCTTACCTGTGAATTTCTCTCTGCAAAATTGCTTAATAGTGTTAGTGAGGTTTGTGAGGTTCACATGTGGGTATTTTTGTCTGGATCTAATACAACATACTAGATGAGAGGGAGCCATGCCCTTTCCAGTTTCCTTTCCTTTGCTCAATTACCAAATAAATTTCTTTCTAAAATTTTTCAAGTTCTGGAGTTTGTTCTTGTGAAAGATATTTTCTATTTATTTCTTTAATTCAACCAACTTTTCCTTTAAGTATTTAGTTGCTATGGTATTAGATTCATCTGTATTAAATACTGATTTATCATTTGTCTTCAAATAAAATGCAATTTGTCTGCTTATCCCCTTTTGCTTGTCAATATTTACTGCAATCTTATTTAAATTTTGATTGCACCTTTGAGTTCAGCCACAGCATAACAGATTTTGCTTTTAAATTCTATGTGAATCTTTGTATCTCAGGTATGTTTCTTATAAGCAATATATCTGTTTTCTAATCCATTCTGCTTTCTTTTCCTATATAATGTGTAAGTCCATCCCATTAGAATGCACAATTAAGATTATTTTGTATTTCCTTTGACCTTGTTCTCTTGTATGAAATTTCCCTCTCTCTGCTCTTACCTCCCTTTTAACAAATAAGGTGAAAGAAGGGGGAGTTTGCCTGACACATGTCACCTTATAAGTGAAACAGCTTATTTCCTCTTCTTCCAGATCTTCCCTTGCCCTGCCCTAACTCTTGATACTAGGGTTTTCCTCCTTTCTTTTTAATCTCTCCCTTCATGTTTCTTCCCTTAACATTTGGGATTGTTTTGCTTACGACTCTTCCCTTACTTTTCCTGCTCTCCATGTTAGCTCATTCTCCAACCCCTCCCTTGTCCTTGTCCCCTCTTATCTCTCTTATAAATTTAAGGTATTTCCATGTGCATGTAACTGTGCTCAATCTTCCTTTTATCTGATTTAGATGAAAGCAGAATTCATGGGATGCCCATTTTCCCCACTCCTTCCTTGGTGACTATACATTCTTTATCTTATATATCTACGATTGTCAATGATTTCCTTTCCTTTTTCCTCCTTTCTTCCCCAGTATAGTTCCCTGAACCCTTCATTTTTGTCTTCTAAGAACATTAAAACAGAACAAAGCCACCCATAGACCCTCTTTCATTTTAACCTTTTCCTATGAGCCTTAAATATATTAGGGTTCTGATAAAATGCTTGTTTCTTATCCCCTTACTGACATGGAAACAAATCATCCCCACACAATCCCTTTCAATTACATAGATATGTATACCTTTCTAAATTTCTCTTAGTGGTTGTGTTTCCCTTTAAAAATTACTCAGTCTGACCTTTTAACCAGGAATGCTTAGAAATTCTCTATTCCATTAAAGGTTTGTCTGGTTTTTTTTCACAGTAGGATTATACTTTTTTTTTTAGTAGGTTGTAAGCCATTATGTCTTATATTCTGGGATACCAAGGCTCTGGGACCTCCCTTGCTGCTACTAGGTTCTACCTGGTGTCCTCTTAATTACTGGGCTCAGAGGTTACTCCCATGCTAAGTTCCTATCTGAGGCTTCAGAAACACTAAGGGCTGGATTTCGCCTAGGGCTTTTCTCTACAGCTGCCCCACTGGATCAGGCTAGCATGCCTGGAGTCTATTCTGGCTAGCTGGACTCTTGCAGTCACTGGCTTTGGACTGTAGAGAAGGCTCAGGCTGGACTAAGCTCAAGAAGTACTGGATTAGCCAGAAGCCTCCAAGGGCTGCCTAAACTCCCTACCCAAGCTTGTCTATCCCAGTGTCTCCATAGTCCTAGGTTAGATAGGGAAGTCCAGAGGTGATCCTTTCTATTTCCTTCCAAATTAAATGGTATAATGGTACATTTCTTAGCCCTAATAGAGTGCATGCTGGAGTGTCCTGTGTCCTGACATGCCTCTAACAATCTCTGCTGTTTTTCAAACAATACAAAATAGTTTTGATGATTATTGGTTTAAATGATTTGATGCCTGGAAGTGCTATTTCAATACAATTCAATAAATATTTATTAAACATCTTCTATGTGCCAGGCACTGTGCTAAGTGCAAAGGATACAAAAAGAGACAAAAGACAGTTCTTGCCCTCATGGAGCTTACACTCTAATGGGGGGATACAACATGCAAACAAAATAGATACAAAGCAAGCTAAATACAGGATAAGTAGTAAATAATTAACAGATGGAAGGCACTGGCATTAAGAAGCATTGGGGAAGGCTTCCTATAGGAGATGGGATTTTTGTTGGGACTTAATGGAACCTAGAGAAGTCACTAGTCAGAGCGGAGAAGCAAAAGCACTCAAAGCTTGAGAGACAGCCAGAGGGAATGCCTGGAGCTGAGAGATGGAGTGTCTTGTTCATGGAACGGCCAGGAGTCCAGTGTTACTGGATTGAAAAATACACATTGGGAAGGAAGACACTGGAAAGATTGGAGGCGGATAGGCTATGAAGGGCTTTGAATGCTAAACAAAAAAATTTTGTATTTGCTCCTGGAGACTATAGGAGTTTACTAAGTGTGCGGGGGGAGGGGGGTGGGGGTGGGGAGGAGACATGATAAGATTTGCATTTTAGGAAAATCACTTTAGTGACTAAATATCAGTAAGCCTCTACTTAGGCCTGTATTTTTCACATGGGTTCCCTGTATTATTATTTTTATTGTGTTAAACTCTATAAAAAATGTGTTTTAGTATTTGTTTTCTATATTTACTTAAAATTTCTATATTTACTTAAAATTTACTTTGTTCTGTTTTAATGTTCTTAGAAGACAAAAATGAAGGGTTCAGGGAACTATACTGGGGAAGAAAGGAGGAAAAAGGAAAGGTGTCCTAGCACATGGTCTGTTTTTGGAAAGGTACCATGTAGCATGAAGATATAATTATATTCTTTAATGTTTCCATTCAGAAGCTGATGTCTTTCAAATCTAACTTCTGTACAATTTGTTCAGTTCTCTATTTTCCTTTCTACTTATCTTTCTGTTAGATTTATCTAGCTCTGAAAGGCGCATTAATGTCCCCTACAATAACTGTTACTCTCTTTCTGCAATTCAGTTAACTTATACTTTGTGAATTTGGATACAATGTCATTAGGTTCATACATACTTAATAATGATATTGTTTCATCATCAATGGTATCTTTAAACATAATTTAGATTCCCTGATTATCTCTTTTGAGTGTGCCTTTATTTAATTCTATTGAGACAGCAGAAACTTAACCCTATTATTTCCCTTAGGAACAAAGGTTCAGTATTTGCAAATTCAGTGTTCAGTGACTTTATAGAACATAACTACCTTAAATAATAAGAATCAATTCTCTCTCTCTAAATATATATACATACACACATTATATATACACACACATACATATACATATACACACATGTGTACACACAGAAAACATAAAAATTATAGTCTCTAACATAAGCAGAATGGCATTACCATGACAACATATCTCACTTCCTACTTGTAGTAAGAAAAGAGCAGGCTGGATGGTGTTAGCATATGTTGCAATTCTATTAACAATAATATTAATAATAGATAACATTTATGTGGCACCTATTATGTTCCAGGCACTGTATTAAGCACCTTACAAATATTATCTTATTTGATCCTCACAACAACCCTGGAAAGTAGGTGCCATTACAAGCCCCATTTTATAGATGAGGAAACTGAAATAGGCTGAGGTTAAGTGATCTACTCAGAACCATACAACAGTGTCTGAGGCCCAATTAGAACTCACCTCTTCCTGACTCCAGGCCCAGTGCTCTATATCCTGCATCACTTAGCTGCCCCATCACTTATATTAAAATAAAATCAAATCATTGTATGATTTTTCTATTTTCTAAAGAAAAAATACATCAATAATATATTTCTAAGTGTGATTCCCTCATTGCCCCCTGAAATGATAAAAAAGAAGTTTAAAAAAATGGAACTTCCACTCAAATAAGATTGGTCAGTAAGCAGATATACTACTATTCAAACAAGCAAGCATAAGGTCCTCCTTACCAGGATCTCCTCCATCAGGAGATAAGGGTTCCCTGGGTCCTGGGGCTGGAAAGAGTGGAAAAAGTGTGCTAGTGTGCCAGCCTGTTGTTGGTCTTCTAAAAAGAAACCTCCTGACCCCTGGGTTCCGGGGAGAGTCATTAAAGCACAGAGAGTACTTAACCTAGGAAGAGAAAATAGAAAAGTATCTATGAGATGCTGAAACTCAGGAAAACGAATTAGAAAGAACACAAACTTAAAATTTGTATGAGAAACTAGTTTTGATCATGCTCAAGGGGAAAGGTTGACTATAGGAAATCTAAGTGAATCAATGAAGACTATCCATGTCACAGAATAATAGTAACCATATCCTGACACAAACAAAAAAAAAATTCACTTATATCCACCTAAGTGGTCGAGGTATCAGTTACCTAGGTTACTTCCCTCCTTCCAGCATTCCATATTGTTTCTCAGAAGCACTTCACATTTGAGGCCCCCATAGACAGAAAACTACTCCAAACAATATGAGTGATTCCCAGACACCCACCCTAGAATAGGAACCATGCCAGAAGTAGTTATCTACACACAAAAATGTCCTTATCCCTTCTCCATTAAAAATACTGGACCTGAAATGTTGAGAGATGACAACTAATTCTAGACTAAAGATTACTTAGTTTCACTAGTCAAGCAATTGAACACAGGTGATTCTGGATAGACATGGATACCAACATCCATTTTCACAACACAATAGAGCTAGAAAGTAGCTTGAGAGATTCTCTACTCTATACTGTGAGTCTAGCATTTAAATGGCTGGGTAGTCCAGAGGGACAGTGTGAAATATTTATGTAAATCTTTGAGAATTAGATACTTAGTCAATGTATAGTCTGAAGTAAGTAAAAGCAGTGGCAAACTAGATGATTTGGGGAGCCCTTCCAAATGCTAGCACCAATTAATACAATGACTAGGGCTTTAGGTATGACTTTCTCACCTTAAGTGGCAAGGGGTCATCACTTTTGAGGAAAATGTGGTCAAAAGAAATGGCAGCCAGCACAAGTGAAAAGTGATCATCATATCTAATGTAGTTCTTAAAATCATTCTCTGAGAGAAAGCCTCGAACTGTGGAGAAAGAAAATTCAAGTAGTGATCTGCCTGCTTAACCAGAGCAATGTCTCCCTTCTAATTCAAGAGGTGTGGGAGTTTTAACCTGTTTCACAGCCAAGGAAGATGAAACTTCATGGGCTTACAGACTTTATACAACTTTTCCTTCAAAGCCAAGACAACATTTCATTCAGAAAAAAGGCGGAGCATAGTAGTGACTGGCCAAACTGAGTTTGGTCAGATGATAAGAAGTGAAAACACACCGGCAAAAATTAATTCACTTCAAGTTTTCTTCCTAAAAGCTTTCCAGTGTGTCCTTAATAATGTTCAAGAAGTCCCATCTTGGAAAATTTCTCTGTAAAAACTGTCCAGAGGGAATTCTGTTTTTGTGATAGAAATAAATGTTCCCTAGGAATAAAGTTCATCAATTCCAATCTCATATCTAATCTAATAATACTCTCAAAACTATGAGGAAAAATTCTAGCATCCAATAAAAAGAAGTGAATGAAATGAAACAAATTGACTTTTCCTATGTTGAGGAAGTGAAATAAACTTTTTCTTAATCCAAAATTTATTCTTTTGGGAGACTAACACGACATATTTACGAAGGACGCTTCAAACAGAAAGTTTCCTGCATTTGTTCCTAGTTAATTCTATTACCAACATTCTTTAATTTATGACCTTAAGACCACAGCTTTAAGCTACTTTGCACCTCAGTGGTTTAGTATGTAAAATCCACTTTATTATATAGTACATAGTATTATACGGTATGTAGTATTAAATGGTATAACAAATCTTGTGTGCAAACTATATATGTATCTATCTATCTGTCTATATATGTGTATCTGTTATCTATTAACTTTAGAATTCAACTTGTGGTGCCTTAATATATTTGCCTATCCAATTATAATCTCATGCCAATCAAAGAAATTTCTCCTAGCCTTCAGCCCTTGAGGAAATCAAGGTCCTTTATGTGAATGGACAAGGGCAGTCCCTTCAAATTCAAGCTGAAATTGTTCTTCTGAGCAGTCACCTGACATTCTTAGGTTGCTTGCCTCTCAATATGTGGGTTCTAGAAACAGGATCTTCTGAACCTCTATGTAATCCCAGTCCTATCCATTACCCAGTTTACCCTACTACTTTTCTTTTTTATCCTACTATTAATTCAGTTCTCCCTTCTGAATTGCAAGGGAGATTTATTTTTACAATCATTTAGTATGTCTTTCTCCTCCTCCTCCTCCTCTGAACTGAACAAGTGAATAAAACCCTCATAACAAACATGCCCAGTCCAGCAAAACAATTCTTACATTGGTCATGCCCAAACATACATTTCTCATTCTGCATCTTATTCCATCACCTCTCTGGAGGGAGTGAGGAAGCATATTTCATCTTCAGTCTTCTGGACTTGTGGTTTAGCATCGCATTGATCAGAGTTCTCAAGTATCTCAGCTGTTTTTCACTATTAGGTTGTAATTGTATGAACTGTTTCCCTAGTTCTCATTCATAGAGGTCTTCCTAGTTTCTTCTGAAACTACTGACTTTATAATTTCTTATGGCACAATACATCTATATATCACAATTTGTTCAGCCATTCACCAACAGGATAGTACCCCCTTAGTTTCCAGTTTGGGGTTACCATGAAAAGAGCTACTATAATATATATAAATATGTATATATATGTATGTATATATATATGTGTATATATATGTGTGTGTGTGTGTGTGTGTGTGTGTGTATATATGTTCTTTTCTTGTTTCTTTGATGTCTTTAGGGATAGGCCAAGAAGTGGTAATATTGGCTCAAAGGATATGCACAGTTTAGTAACTCTGAGATGACTATTCAGCTGTTTTCAGTGGTATCTGACTTTCATGACTCCATTTGGGGTTTTCTTTGCAAAGATACTGGAATGGTTTGCCATTTCCTTCTCCAGCTGATTTTACATATGAGGAAATTGAGGTAAACAGGGTTAAGTGACTTGCCCAAGTCCACACCACTAGTGAGTATCTGAGGCCAGATTTGAAGAAGATTCTTGACTCCAGGCCCAGCACTTTATCCACAGCACCACCTAGCTGAAACATAGTTCCAAACTACTTTTCAGAATGGTTGAATCAATTCACAGCTCTACCAACTGTGCATTAGTGTGCCCATTTTCTTGCAGCCTCTCTGACAATTGTCATTTTCTTCTTCTGTCATCTTTGCCAATCTGATGAGTGAGAGGTAGAACTTTAGAACTGTTTTAAGTTTTATTTCTCTAATTATTAGTGATTTGAATAATTTTTTCACACGGTTGTTGATAGTTTTGATTTATTCCTTTGAAAACTGCCTGTTTGTATGTTTTGATCATTTATCTATTAGGAATGCTTTTAATCTTAAATATTTTTTATCTGCTTCTTATACACATCTTGAATATGAGCCTTTATCAGAGAAACTCACTGCAAAGTTTCCCACTTACTTGTAGATTTTTTTTTGAAGCCTTCTAGGTCAAGTTACCCTAACTTCTTCCCTACAGTTATGAATTGTTTGATTTTTCTTGGCCTTCAGATATCCCACTATCAGAAACTTCTCTGCCCTACTGATATGATATCAGTCAACTTTTGCCTCATAGAATTAACTTTTCCCAAAACCATGTCTTCAATTAACATTGTTTAACAATTTTGTCTATACTGTAGGACACACACAAATGAGTAAAGGGGTTGTTTAGCACAAAGAAAATCTTGCACTAGCAAAGTTTTTATATAATACTTCATTAATATCAATGAATGAATTAATCAAGAAGGCAATTACAACTTAGATTCAATGGAAAGAACTCTGTTTTGGGAGTCTGAGGTACTGGGTTCAAATTCCAACTTCTAATACTTAGTACCTGTGTGACTTTGAACAAGTCCCTGAACCTCAATCTGTAAAAATTAAAGGTTCATACCAGATAGCCTCTGAGGTCCTATGCTCTCTGTATATGATCTTATAAGATAAGGTTTTAATGTCAATAACTTAAACAGCAATGCAAAAAGCTATCTTCAACAAACACACAGGCATATTAAAATTTGCTATAAGAAAATCAAAGTGGAGCCATCTGTTTGTAACGCTCTCCCAACCTGAATAAGTTGCAATAGATAATTTACAGGCTCTTGGTCTCATAAAGTGAGGAATAAATAGAACAAGGACAAACAAATGCCTAAATATGTTAACAGTTTTTTAACATGGTGAAAGAAGGTGAGTGTATCCTTAGAAAAAAACTTTTAATGTAAGAGAACAAACAAGGAAAAAGTATTGGCAAATTAAGGTGGTGTAAAATCAAAAGACATTAATAAAACTAAGAAATAAAACCAAACAAAAGCAGGGGAAAGGCCTTTTCCATCTCCTCACTTAGCCTTGCCTCCTGGAGGCCCAAGAAACATCAAAGACAACCAGGCTATTTCCTCAGGGTAAAGGAACTCTTTCAAGCTTCCTTCTCTGCTTCCTGACTCAGTAAATGGGCCCTATTTACATATCTTACCAAGGATCCTCATCAACTAAGTTTCAACTCCAAACTGTATAGAGATACCCTTCCATACTATCCTCATTGAACTTGCTATACATTCTGATATAAGCCGGGCTAAGAAATTCTTTGATCTGAATTTCAAACCCATGTACTATTCAGTTCACAAAGATACACTTATAACAAGCAGGGAATCTATTCTTAGAGTCTTTGATTATGAGGTTCATATGTAAGTCAAAATACTTAATAATATGATAATTTAATAAAACTATATTACATGAAGCCACTATCATGCCCTCCAGTTTCTAACCTTTGAAATTGATCTTTAAGGTTTTTTTCACCTCCTCAGTGATATTCTTCACAACATTACTGGTGGAAGGAATATAAATCAGCTCCCACGGACCATCCACAGGAGGACTTTGGAAAAACAAGGGTAGTTCATCAATGGATTGCCCATCATAATGGGTAGGATTAATTTTTTCTGACTTAATAATTAGGCGAAGCCAAATTAAAATTCCCATAAACAGCAACGGTAGGAAGGTTTCCATGATTGTTGCTATGATGTTCCGTTTCTAAAAAAGAAATGAAACTTCTGTGTTAATCCAAGAAACAAGACACATACAAGATATATAATAAGCATTTTCCCTTGAGAAATCCTCTTTTCCCTTAAACCTCCTTAATGCAAGTATTTCCCAAGAAATGTCCCCTAGTCTTCCTCCTCTTTACATTTTCTGTTTTGGCAATCTCATTCACTCCTATGGATTCAACTATCACCTCTATGTGAGTGATTGCCAAATCTTTATCTCCCTGTTTGACTTATTGTTATGAATTTCCAACTGCCTGGATGACCTTACCACCCAGTTAACATTACAACAATGTATACTCAAAATATCATCTTCCTAGCATCATCTATAGTATACCAACACTAGCTACTCCACTTTTTTTCTTATTTCTACTAATGGCAATACAATTTTTTTTTTCAGGAGTCCAAGTTTAAAACTCACAGTTGTCTTTGCCTTCTCCCTTACATTCATGTGAACTAGTGCAAAGAGGACTTTACACTTGGAATCTGAAAGGCTCAGGTTTCACTTCCAGCTATACCCCTTTTCCTAACTGTGCGACCTTGGGAAAGTCATTTAACTTCTTTCAGATTTAGTTTCATCTATAAAATGAAGATCATACCATTTATCCCTCACAGAGTTGTGGGGATTAAGATATGCATAAATTGTAAAGTACTATACAAAGTTATTATCATAATACCAAGCTACCAAGTCCTGTAGGATCTTTTCCCCAAAGCTTTCACATATATTCCTTCTTTGTTGCCTCGTCTATTATCCCTTATCTCTATCTGTCATGACCTTATTCATCATTCAAGGTCCAGTTTGAGTATCATCCAGGTTTCTCAGATTTTCCTTTTCTTTTTTTGTTTTTAGGAGGGCAATTGGGGTTAAGTGACTTGCCCAGAGACACATAGCTAGTGAGGGTTATGTGTCTGAGGTCCAGATTTGAATTCAGTTCCTTCTGACTCCAGGGCTGGTACTCTATCCACTGCGCCACTGAGCTGCCCCCAGATTTTCCTTTTCTAAGCCACAAATGATCTCTCCCTGCCCTAAACTTACATGGCATTTTATACTTCTTCTATAATACTATCTCATACTCTAGTTATCTTTATGTGTGTTTTATCTGTCTGACTAGATCATAAACTCCTTGAAGGCAGGGAATGTCAGTGTCTTACTCGTTTTTGTAACTCCTGAAGCATTTAGCACTGTGTTTTCATCACAGAAAGATCACGGTAAATGTTGACTAGATATGTCAGTGAATAAGAACTCCTCTCCATGCCTTGACCCATAATACCCAGAGTTCCCTTACCTACTTTCCCCTTTGGGTCATCCCCCATGATTCCATAGATATTTATACCTACCTTTAAGATATAATTCTTCCATAGAAGAAGTCTAAACTGCTTGAACATCATCATTTGTCTATTCAGAGACAAAGCTCACCACTAGTTAGGGGCCAGAGAAAATATTAAGAATAACAAAATGTTTAATAGACAATTTGGACAAGAAAGGAGAGGGAAAGGAATAAAACATAATGAGTTTTGTTATAAAACTCTCTTTCTCCAAGATTGCTTACTGCTCTTGTGCTCTTTCTCACTTCCTCAAAGTAAATGAAAGACTAAAACTAATTTTGAAACATGAAAATAGGTATTTATTTTTTCTTTTATACCCAAGGAAAAATAATCATTCTATATGTATCTTTCCTGGAATAGAACCTGTAAGAAGGGACATTCTCTCTCCTGTAGAAGTACTATCAGGCAGGGTATGATTTAGTATATGTTTCCTAAAATTGTGGAATTTAGAAGTTTACCAGCAGCTCCATTCCACTTTGGCCCCAAAACAAGCCCAGACCTAAGAATGAGTAGCAGAGGGAAATGGAGCTACAATATTGGGGAAAATCCACATTTGACAGAGGCTTTTTGCTCTCTTCTTTTTATTGTTGTTGTTGGTTTTGTTGTTGTTGTTTTTTTGGGGGGGGTTGGGCAATGGGGGTTAAGTGACTTGCCCAAGGTCACACAGCTAGTAAGTGTTATGTGTCTGAGGCCGGATTTGAACTCAGGTCCTCCTGAAATCAGGGCTGGTGCTCTATCCACTGCACCCCATAGCTGTCCCTGCTCTCTTCTTTTTAAAGATATGTTTTAGAGATGTCAAATGATCAAAGTAATCCCCTTTCCACATAAGGAAACCTAAATTCTCCTAGTCAAGAACATAATTCTCATCATGCTTAAAGTAAACTTTCTATGACTATCCTTAAAAAGAAGATTGCTATTTTAGTTTCCAGCTTCAAAGTCCAATGAAAATTTTTTAGGAAGTAAATTAACCTACGTAGATTAGTAAGTAAAAATGACAAATAAAATGAGACCCTAGAACAATTATCTTGATAAAATAAATAATATTAAGGCTGGGAGAAACAAGCAAAACATATAGAGAAATTATAGAAGGCATATCATATACCTGATTCATCATCTCACATACTAGTTGCTATAATTTTTCTATTGAATGTATTCTGAATATTATTATTTTATTAAACAATTTAATTTAATGTTTAAAAATATACAGGCAAGCTCCACTTTTCTGTTGAAATATGTTTCTGGAAGCTATGTCATAAAGAGGAATATGACAAATAGACTATACCTGGGGGTTTTGCTCTTGACCAAGGGCAAGGAATCAAATAAAATTTACAATTGACTATGTCATAGATATTATAATGATGAAATTTTATCATTTTAAATAGTAAAATAGTAAAATTATAGTCTGAACTCTAAAAACTGGGCACAAATATAATGTACACTTAATGATATGCAAAGGTATGTAAGTATGGCATATAAACAATGCAACTCTATAGTATCACATGTTTAACCTAACTATAATATTCTATTTGTCAAAAATGAACATAAAATTAATACTAATTTTGCCTGCTTTATAAATTATAAGGGATTTCTAAAGATGACTGAAATGGCCCAGATCTCTTTTTTAAAAATATCTGGTCAAATCTGAATATGAACTTCTAATTTTTCCTCAAAAAGTTTCCTTGCAGCAAGCTGAGTCATTCAAGATAATTTCAGTGAACTTTTGACATGAGATGGTATTCTCCTGTCAGTAACCCTTCAAACAAACAAAAACCGTGGCAAAAAATAAAAGCTGTCTCTATTGGAACAATGGTATTTCTTCTCAGCAATGGAGCATGTGGGAATAAAAACTGGACCTGGGCTTTCATTTATACAGGCAACTCCCAGATGAAGAAATTCCCTCTACCAATGCAACTGCACCTTCTCTGCAGCTTCTATTCTTAGAGAGTTGCCTAGAGAAGAGGTGTCAGACTTGGGATGAACCCGACAGATTATTTTTGTCACAATTACCTTGGGAAATGTTTAATGAGATAAATAAAAATACAATACAACATAGATAATTTAATAAGTCAATATGTGGCCCCCAAAGACTCATTTCTGTTTGAGGTTGATATCACTAGCCTTAGGGTATTGAGAAGCGGGTTGCTTGGGTTAAATAGACAGTAAGTATAAGAAGTAAAAATTGAACCCAGGTCTTCCTGATTTAAAGGATGGCTCTCTATCAGCATGTGCCTTTAGAAAAATTCAAATAAATAAAAGAGGGGATTTCTTGCAATTTTAAAGGATTTATAGAATGTTTCAGTTCAACTTAATTACATCTTAGGAGAATTTCCATAGAAATAATCTCTGCTGTTTTCCATTTTATTCCTGGAAGCCAATGGGAAAGAAAGATTTAATAAATCAATATTGAATTTCCTGAAAATTATTTCATATTATGTAAAGACCTGCATTTTTATCATAATACTTATACAACACTATTATGCTTAAATCTATTTCAAAATAACACTAAGAAATAAAATTATAACAAAGAAATTAAATCTCTCTGACCAATACAGACTGCTCTTCAACCACACTGGGTATGATACCTTGTACATCAATAGTTTGTCTTCTTCCTGTTAAAATAGAAAAAAAAAAGTATATTTGTTCACAAATAGGTACAGGAAGAGCAGAGGTTTTTTGTTGTTTTTTTTTTTTTTTTTACAAACTTTATCATATGATTTTGACTATCTTCTATCTAAGGATGAATCAATGTGAGGATGCATTTCAAAATTCTCTTCCAACAAAGATTACCAACACACCAGTGGATTCAACTATAAGTATATGTTTACTTTTACATGGTTTTTACAAATTTAAATTGTTGTGTCACAAGTTTAAATTTTAAAACATAATCTGTGTGATGTTTATCTTATACACATACATAACATGAAAAAAACTAATTAGGTATGAAGGTCAGTTGATATTCTTACTTCCTACCCACATTATTTTATTATGAAAAATTAAACACAAAATTTCCAGCCTGAGATAAAAGTATAAAATTGAAAAGGCATTAATATTTTGTAGAGCAATATAATTATGGATTAACTATCAAATACCTTTCTCCCTCAGAGGAAAATTGGCACACAGCTTTAGTACATAGAATTCAACATACAATCACATCACTTCTAACCCAAAACATAGTCAGTGTTTTCCAAATACTACTTTTAAATACTCTACTTCTGGATTCAGTCATCTTATCTATTGTCTTATACTCTAATTAGCCAAGAAGATTACAGCAAAAATGTCATTTTCCTGAATAAAAATATTTTCCCTCTTATGATTTTTTTTAAGAACATGATAGAATTTCTGGCTGAGGTTTTCTCCTGCCACTATGATAGGAAAAAAAAATACTCTACTCAGTCTTTATCTTGAGCTTCCAGACTTATTTGCTTAAAGCAAGTAGGTCATTCTTGCTGAAATTTACAAAAACCAGATTTGGGACATAAAACAGTTTCAATTTTGATCAGTTAGTTCCTGAGGCAAATATCCTTAACTTTACCTTCTGTTATTTGTTTCTTGATGTATAAATCCTTATCTTACCCATCTTTTCTGTAAAATTCCATTGTTCTCATCTTGCTTAGTATTCACATTCTATATAAAGCTGCTGAAACTGATACGCTGGGCTCACTGACTCTAGTATATGGTTAGTGCTGCCTGCACTCTGAGAATGATAAACTACAGTCTCTATTACTGCTATTGATTGGCAGCTGAACCTAGTCTGTGGACACCTGGATAATTTTGTCATGATTCCTGGTACACCAGATGGGACAAAACTAGGTTGAACTTCGTTCAAGTTATCCATTCTGAAATTCTTGTGTGTATAAGGTGGATTTTACCTAGGGAAATTTCTGAGTAGAAGAAAACAACTGGCTAATAAAGTTGCAGTGCCATCTAGAAAATGTCAAGGATAAATCAGTGTTTTGAGTATTTGTCTGTGTTGTCTGTTTATCTTTTGTACTTGAATAATACATTGACATAATAATTATCCATAAACCATTGTCACTCTGGAGTGACAAGTCAAGTAGTTTCATCAATGCCCTGAGAAGCATGGTGCTGTGATTCAGTATTCAAAAACAAGGACTTGGCTGAGGAACTTCATGTCTTAAAGGAAGGTGTTCTTCTATCCTTCTGGCTGAATAGGATTCTTCCAAACCCTGTACCCTTTCATCTTATTTCCCACAGGCAAATAAGCAAGACACTTACTGTTTGTCTATCATTTGCAATTTGTACTTTCTTAGCTACCCTTTGGGTCTGAATTTCTGGGTAGTACTGGTCTGGTCTAATCTGACATAAATCTCTAGCAGTCAATAGGATGCCTATCATGAATAACATAAATCTGATGTCTCTATTCTGCCTTGAATAGTCAGTAATCATTATTCCTCAGATTCTGGTAATTCTGGTTTAGTTCTGCCAATTCTGGTTTGGGGCAATTGGCCTGTAGATTCAGATGCTAAATTATTCCCTGTCTAATCTCTCCCAACATGGGATCTAGAGATATTCTTTTGGGTTGTCTCTGAGAAAATTCCTTTCAAAGAACCCTGGTTTTGACATCATTGTGAAAATTTCTAGACCAGGTTAACTTTTGAAACTAGACATCCTTGGGCCTGGGGAGACTTTTTTGATTTGAAGCACTGTGCACTCAGGCTAATCATTGAAGCTTCATACCCAAATAAGCTCTTCCTGGTATCTGTAATTACTGCAATTCTGATAGTAAATTCACCTTTCCAATAAACAGGAACTTCCATTGTCCCTTTGATTAAACCTCCAATAAGACAGAAGTTTTCAGAACAAATAGGAAAAGAGTGAGAACTTTTTCTGCCAAAAGTTTCAAAACTAAAGAAATAATCTCATCTTTGTGCTCCTAATTCTGACCAGTTTAGGAATGTAAAGAGAAAGATAAAAGGGAAAGAAAACCCTCTTTTGTAGTGAGTGGTACGTGCATACCAGTATCAGTGAAGACCCCTCAGGACATGACCCCCCCCTTCTTTAGTTGTGTACGCAGAAATTCCTGAACTATAGCGTATCCTGTTAAT